CAGAGAACTAGAAGGAATGGAATGGAAGGAAGACTATCTATGGGTCACTATAGACGTCACATCACTATATACGGTTATTGACCATACTAAAGGGATAGCTGCGGTAAAAGAGATGCTAGATAATGATAAAAAAAATGTCTAATAGACAGAGTGAATTTATTTTGCAATGTATTAATTTTATCCTACATAAGAACTCTTTCTGGTTTGAAGGTACCTATTACCTACAAGTCTGTGGTACTGCCATGGGCACCAGGTTTGCCCCAAGCTACGCTAATATCTTCGTAGCGAATTGGGAAGAAAGTTGTATTTGGAATAATAATCCTTTCGGGGCAAACCTGGTGCTATGGAGAAGGTACATAGACGATATTTTTATTATTTGGAAGGGGGATGTCCAGTTGTTTCACAGTTTTATGGTTTATGTAAATTCTAACAATTATGGGTTGAATTTTACCCAAGAAATAGGAGATACACAGATCAATTTCTTGGACCTAACTTTCTTTATAGAGAGAAATGTAATCTGTAGTAAAACCTTCTTCAAACCTACGGATTGCAATAGTATTATCGAATTTTCAAGTTGCCATAACCCTGTATGGCTACGTAATATTCCCAAGAGTCAACAAACTAGGCTATATAAGAATTGTACAAATCAAGAAGATTTTAATAGTCAGGTCCAAGTTCTAAATAAAAGATTTTTAGATAGGAATTACCCTAAAGAACTACTTGAAAGAAGTCAACAGGAAGTAATTTTTAAAAAAAAGGGAGGATACCTTAAAAGTAAAATCAAAAACCAATAAGTTCGAGAAAAACTTTTTCGATATGGTATTCATTACCAAATATAACAGCAAAGCAAATAAAATGGACAAAGTTCTTAGAAAGTATTGGCCGATTCTATTGCAGGATACCTACCTCTATAAAATATTACCTAAGAATCCAAAAATTGTGTATAAAAAGACTAATAGTTTAAAAAATATTTTAGCACCCAGTATGTTGCCAAAAGTAGTGTTAGAAGAAAAACAGGATACTTTTCTTAAAGAGAAACCCAAAGGTTTCCACAGATGTGGAAACTGTAGTACTTGTAAGTTTCAAAAAAGAATAACGACAACCTTTAAAAGCACAATTACAAGCGAGAGTTTCATGATAAAACACTTTATAACATGCAGTAGTAAAAATGTTGTATATTTGCTAGAATGTGTATGTGGAATACAATACATAGGTCGAACTATCTGGAAATTACATGAGAGACTTCTAGAGCATTTCAATGGCATAAAAAAGAAAAGTGATAAGCATAGTGTACCTCGACATTGTAATGGCTGTTCCATCTTTTCTCTGAATAATTTCACTTGTATAGGTATCGATCTGGTTGTTCCACATTGGAGAGGCGGAGACATTATAAAAACTTTGGCCAGAAGGGAAACAGAATGGATCTATAAAATGAAGTCCTCGACTCCTCTAGGTCTGAACACCGACCTAGATATTTTGGCTTTTATGTAACATATTGTGTCAACCTATTGCTAAAATTGATTCTTTACTTTTTATATTTTTTTATATATATTTTCTTTTTATTTATTCATCTGTTTATTTTTTCATTTTCTTGATGTAATACCCATATATGGCTAATGTAATGATTGTCATTTTGGATTTTCATAATAATTCTTTTATTTACTTTTTCCCTTTTTATATCAAAATTAATAACAATTTTCATATAAGTAGACTGGGTCTCAATTAATCCATTGCAAAAAATTATTATGAGATATATAGAACATCATTGTTCCATTTAATTATTTTTTAATTTTTCAAACATTTTCTTATACTATCTTATATAGATTGTAAGGATTACCACAAATTCAATGTGCATTCAACACACTTTGTATTTATAGCCTTATTTAACTTTGATTTTATAATTCATATTATTTATTTATACATTTTGACATATTTGTGGTAAACTCTAAGGACTGGATTACTATGTTAAAAGTAGGCACAATTGTGATGAGCTTTTTGGTCACTTTTAACGAATACAATGTTACATAGTGTCCAGAACTCAGTGCCGATAAAGTTTTATTGCGCTTGAATTGAATGCGCATGCGCACCGACAATTTCCCGAAAGCTACTGGTCTTTTGGAGCACCCGTAGCTGAACGGAAATTTGTGTCGGCGGGCGCATGCGCTATGACATCATTTTGGCGCGAAGACAGAAGATCGATGAAGATATAAAGAGAGGAAGCCGGCGAAAGAAATAGCATCCACAGCTCCTGAGGAAGTCCCGAAAAGCGCGGGACGAAACGCGTTGAGCCTGATATTTCAAGACAGCAGTTCAGAGACAGTCCTTTCACCTCCACCTCTATATTGAGAGCCGCAAGTATTTTCAAGCCCTATGAGTCGCGACCTAGGGCTATGTGAAATATTTCTGTACTTGCAAGATAGTGGTTGGTGTTTGTGTACTTAACCAGTCTTATAATTGCACTGCTCTGTTTTCGTCTTTTATATTTTATATTTTGAATATTAAATTTAGGACTTTTTATTATAAGTCCCTTTTGTCATCATTATTTAGCGCCCTCAATAGGGGAGATTTGCACCCTCCCCTTTTTTTCTTTATTTATGATCTATTTATAGGCTTCCTTGGGGTGTGCCTTTTATGAGTGGCAGCTTTATTTTTGTATGACATTTCACAAAACCTAGATTCTGGATCCACTTTAATCTTGTATTAATTAAAGCTGTGTTCCCCCCACCTCACACACACACACACACACATTTTCCAAATAATTTGTTGTCTGTATTATTTGGGGTATTTTTCATTATATTGGATAATCGATTATACTATGCAGTATACAATGCTAGCATGAGGCTGTAGTGTGTACAGTAACAAGATCCAGGGACAAGCTAGAGCTTAGTCAGTGCTGTCACATGTATTTATTTACTGTCTCAGTCTCTTCTAGTTCTACAACTGACTCCGTGTTACATGCAATAAAAAATAAATAAATCTTCAAAATTTAAACTTATAGCAAAATACTTTGCATCCGATACATTTTAGATTAGTAAATGCACAAGTTTAAAATGTGGCCCAGGGTTATGTTTGAAAGGGGTTTTAAGATGAAAAGAGAACAGAGAGCACACAGAGAAAAAATTATGAGAATTCCATAAAAGTTGGTGGAAAAGAAGGAGTTAAAATAACAGTTCTAATTGCTTATACAGTATGGAAGATAGACTACCAGGTGCACAATCAGTGTCTAACCTTATACATTATATAGAGATAGAGAGAGAGATAGAGAGAGAGAGAGAGAGAGAGAGAGAGAAAAAAAAAAGAAATATAAATCAGCTTACCATAATTTTTAAAGTTGAATCTGGGACCAATTACTTGCACACACATACTGACAGAGATTCACATACACACTGACACAGATAAACATACACACTGGCAAATGCACACACACACACAGATACTGACACAGATACACATATACACAGTGGCATATACAAACACTGACACAAATCATTATTTTCATATTTTTAGCCACCCTGTTTCCATACCTTTTGAGTGCAGGAGGGTGGCTTCGCTAGGGTTCAATAGGCCCTGCTGGCTGAGGATGATGGGAGTCCAGGCTGCTTCTTCCTCTCTGTGCCTCCTCTCTCTGCCTTTTCCTTTCTGCGTCCTCCCACGGGGCTCTCTCTGGTAACTGGGAGTAAGTGATCTGCTCTCACTGCATTCCACATATTGAGAGGGGCTCGGTTGCGCATTTAAAGGGCCCTTGATTAAAGAAGCCTCCCATTGGGTGTCCCTAAGTGTAAAGTACACCTCACAGGCCCCAACAGCATGCGGGACCATATTATTGACTGGGCGTGATGCCAGTGTTCTGTCAGATCTCTGTACCCATCAGAAATCCTTACCCATATCACGTCCGGTGACACAGATCAGCTCTTGCCTGTGCTGCAAATGTGTGCTAGCACTCCTGATGGGTAGGGAAATCTGATGCAGGCTGGGAGCATGCGCAAGACCACCACATCACTTACAGTGTCGCTGCATCAGTTGGAATAGTAATGGTAATTCCTCCTCAGCTAGGTCCTGCAAGGTAAGCAAAGCTAGTTTCACACTCACATTATAGTTAGAGCATTCACTAAAGCACAGGGACATGGGACATTTAGGGTAAATGTTAGGGTTAAAATTAGGATTAGATTTAGGGGGTTATTTTTTTATTTAGAGATTAGGGACATCAGGGGGAAAAACACTAAATTTAAAATTATGAATAGTGTTAATGTAAGCCTTACTCCTAGGGTTAGGGTAAGAAGTGAGAGAGGCAAAATGAGTTACCTAACCCTAATGCTACCAGCCTGCATCAGATTTCTACACCTGTCAGGAGTGCTAGCACGCATGTGCAGTACAGGTGACAGCTAATCTGTGTCACCGAATGTGGCATAGGTAGGGATTTCTGATTGGGTAGGGAAATCTAACAGAACACTGGGATAGCGCTTCAAAACAGGGACAAACCCCATCAAACCAGGATGTCTGGTAACCCTTTATATAAATCATATGAGTAGACAAGTAAGAAGACGGAGGATCTATAACGATGGGTTTTGTACAGTTTTGTATATATTAATTTTATTTTAGAGGCATAAAATTGGAACATCATGGCAGCTTTAAATACATAAACTTGGCACACCATGGTAATCAGCTTTAGATGCATAAACTTGGCATATCATGGTAATCACGTTTAGATGCATACACTTGGCACATCATGGCAATCAGCTTCAGAGTCATACAATTGGCACACCATGGCAAACAGTCAGATGCATAAAATTGGCACACCATGGCAATCAGTTTTAAAAGCATAAAATTGGCACACCATGGCAATCAGTTTTAGATGCATAAAATTGACATAACATGGCAGTTTTAGAGGCATAATTCTGGGATATCATGGCAGTTTTAGATGCAGAAACTTTGCACATCATGGCAATCAGTTTTAGAGACATACAACTGCTTACTCAGAGACTCAGAATCAGAAGTGCTGTGTCCTGCTCTTTCATCCAGGCACCTCACATTGATTATCCCAGTGGTGGAACTAATGTAGAGTTAGCCCTGGTGCAAGAATGTTTTCTGGGCCCCCCTCTAGTGCAAGTGTGGCCAAAAGGTAGATCTCCATCTGTCGGAGAACTTCAACAATGCTATACCAGATGGGGATCTACCATTTTCTTATCATTGCAGGGTTATATTTGTGAGCATTGTTTGAGCGTTTGAATGTAAGCATGTTTTTGTATAAGTGTATATGTATGGGTGTATTTGTACTGTTGCCATTGGAATGTAGTGGTGTACTTGTTTGTAATGTTTGCGTCTGAATGCATGGGTGTTTGTATGTAGTGTCGGACTTGAAATGCAGGTGTGCTTTTTGTGTGTATTGCTGGTGTTTGAATGAAGGGGTGTTTGTAGATAATTTTAGTGTTTTAATGCCGGGGTATGTTTGTATGTAATCTTTGCGTTTGCAGTACGTGTGTAGTGGATGAAAAAAATTAATATAAATGCCGACACTGTAGGATGTAGAATAGAATAGTAGAACTGATAATTCAAGTATTAGACGTAGTAGTTTTACTAAAAAACATTTTATTGCACAATACATTTTTTTTGGTGGGTGGCCAACAATTTTTAGATTTAATCATATCCCGCTGTGAAAGCACTTACAAACGCTAAACATCTGCGTTTTCCATGTGTGGTTTACAGACTGTTGTTAATGAGAAATAAACCATTTAACGCCATTCCAAGTTAAATGCACTTTATGGTGATCTTACTCTGAATTGGTTAATTAAGAACATGTCATTAAATTGTTGTTATTGCTCTCGAACTTTTTCGCTTTGCATACGCCTAACTCATGTTACTGGAAGTGTGGAATCTTGATCACCCGGTGTGTCATGTGAGGAGAGTGATTTTCAGTGATGGCATAAAAGAGCCACTGCAGTATTATGACAGAGCATGGTCTGGCACAGTTCTATTATTTTACTCATGCAGATGGTATTATTAGGATGTTAGGTAGTATGCCTACCAACAACCCTGACTAAAATGACTCAATGCTTATATCCTACCAAGGTGTCCCACTTTTGATAAGAAAACAAAATGCGTTCGTTTATCTCACAGTTTCACAACAGTGAAACTCACATTAACGGCAATTGTGTATTGGTGTATTCCACAACTCCACAACAATAAAACACACTCGCATAGAGAGGGTGAACAAACTGAAGAGGTCATTATCCATTCAAGATGGTGAGTTCAAATTGTTGAGCATCATTTATTAAATCTCAGCATCGTTACAGTGCCATTCACAACTGTCTCATTTTAATAGCCACCACTGGGGGTGCTAAATGTGAGGGGACCAGTCATGTGAGTTATGGGGAAATCTGCATTAAAAAAAAAATGCAAAAGACTAACACTCACGATTCATAGCCAGGCAAGACATGGATAAGAGTAACAAGAACTACAATCCACACTATCTCTTGTGGAGATAGTGTGGATTATGGGCTATATTCCGGTGCTCTCCCAGCATCCTAAGGACGCAGAACAAGATACAGTGACCTACTCTGACCTCTGATAACACACATTATCATTTTATCAGATCAGCCATTTTAGCTTAAATTTTGACATTCAAAATTAAATTCTCTGCAATTCGGAATTTTACTCAATAACTCTGATTGTATTACTAGATATTAACATTTTTGGAATTAAAGGAGCACTATAGCATTATCAATAGAAACGTATTGCTAACACTATAGTATCCTAGTGCATACAGTATTGTTTCATCCCCACATACACACACTATTCACCTGTAAAAAAAAACAAGAAAAAAAGGTTTTACTTCTCATTTAATCCAATGTTTCTCTGTCAGCATTTGGTGACGTTCAATGTACTCATGGATGTTAACTGTCACATGACCGAGTCAAATCTCTGTCATTGGAGAGCAAGTGTCTCTAGTGGCTGTCAAGAACAAAGGCACTAGAGTTGTATTTAGACTAGAGATGCATTTAACCATTCAATGTAAACATTGCAGCTTCATTTTTTTTATTTTTATTATAAAAAATCCAAACATAAAATAACTGTAAAAAACATATTAAACTAAAGTCCCAAATATATAGCCTTAAACTATATTAAAATAAAGTCCCAGATAATATATAGCCTTAAAATAAAGTCTCGGCTACATAGCCTGTAATGTAGAGTTCAGAATATATATATTCTGAACTCTACATTACAGGCTATATAGCCGATCCAGATAGCGATCTGGGACTTTATTTTTATATAGTTTTTACAGTTATTTTATGTTTGGATTTTTTATAATACAAATATTTTATTGGATACAATTTCCTTTTACCTGGCCATTCTTTACCAACATTGGAGCCGGTCAAAAGGGAGAGCACCAATCAACTGGACAAAGGAAAAAGGATTTGGACACCCTTGAATGGTCCAGAGGCGCATACCACTGGAGGCTTGTGAGTGATATCACTATTTTCCTTTACTATTTACAGTTTGTGTTTACTGTATTACACTACTTCTTGTAATATTTTGTCTTACAGAAAATTTGTGACAAATATTTAGAAGCTCCACCTTCCCTGTATGTATGTATAATTATGTGTTTAAAGTGGTGTAGGGGATACCACTTTTTTTTTGTGAATATGATTTTTATTCATTTTGCATATATTAATGTTCGATGAGACGCGCAGGTTTCCATTGTATGTTATTATAAAAGGTAACAAGTTAGGCTTGCAGGCCCCATCGTAGAAGGACTCGCAGGTCCCCATTTTCTGGTATTTACATTTGTTTGGGAATATAAGTTAAGTAACGTTTTCGTAAACTGGGTGAACATTATGCCATGTAACCGTCCTTGAACCGGATTAATCAGTCCTTGATTAGGTGTCAGTGTTTGTAGGCTTCCCCTATGGTCTCTGTCAACGGGCGTCTCACAGGGCCCTGTGTCCTTAGCCATGTGGCATTGTCCGTGGTGGGCTTGTGTTTTCCCCCGTTATTACTATCAGTATTTCCCGTGTTTAACCAGGGGTATGGTGATATTGCAGGTAGGGGGTACTCTTATATTGGGTGTGTGGATACTGCATTAGCCGTGTCATTGCCGGGCCTGTCCAGGATTATCACAGGTGTTCGCGTGTTTTGGCTTTGGGGTGACGTCCCGGACTGGTCTGGACGTGTGTACCAGCTCGTGTTTGTTAGTCGTTCCTGATTATGGTTTCCCTTATTGCTATGGGTGCGGTGGGGATGATTCAGTCAATGATGATGCTCGGGTATTTCGAAGGGAGGGGGGGGGGAATACGTCGGGGTGGGAAGAAAAGAAAAGGGGGGGGTAGTTCTGTTCCGTTCAGTTCGTCTGTCGGCCGTCTAGCGTCGTCTGGGGTGTGTGTTCTAAATGCTATCTGTCTGTGTCGTGGTGTCCGTTAGTGTTAGGTCTGAGTTCTAATTGGAACTCTTCTTTTGCCGTCTGTGACAGAACCATCTGTCTGCTGGATTTTTGCCCGTTCGTCTGTTTGTCCCCGTTCGTATGAATGGCTGGTTTCTATAGCCCAGCCATTCGAATGACTCTTTTTCCCGAACAAAACCGCCGAACGAACGGCCACCCAAGTGAGGAGTGTGCTGCAGGTTAACGAAGTGATCACCATTATAACGTTGTGGTTAACCGCAGACACTTCTCAATTAAACCGAACTCAGGGTGGTCGTCGTTCGTATGTCGACCACGAGGCAGCGGCCATTTTAAATCATGCGAACGCTCAGCGGTGTTTGGCTCTATTTCTATGGAACGGAAAACGGACACTTTTTCTGTCGAACACCGCTGAAACAAGGGAACGCCTGGCTGCCTCCACGAAAGCATGCGAACATCGGCCGTTCGGGAGATTGAGAACACACAAAAGACTTAACCCAGATAGCCCACCCATGGAGTCATTCGTGTACCGAAGGACTGTAAGAACTTTGACTCCATGGCGATTGAACTATGTGTGTGGGATCTGAGCGCTATTCGCCAATAATATGCACTCAGATCCAGGCTATCTGGGGACATGTAATACGAATGGGAAATGTTCAGTCTTCATGTAGTTATGCATTTTTGTGTCTTTTATTATTTCATGTTTAAGATGGCGACTGTCCTTGTCCTGGAGTTAATTGAGTTACTTGGTAATTAACTCCAGGACAGAGGGGAGGGAATCAGAATGTACTGTGGGTAAAATATGTGACTGTGTGTCAGAAATGTCCTGCTATCTGTCTGTACTTTAAGTCTTCCATTTGGTCCCCTAGGGGAGTGTCCACCAGGTGGGAGACCTGCATAAATACGGGCAGGTAGCCCACAGTAAACCCAGATCTTATTTGACCCTCAATGCGGAGCTTCTGTCTCGTTATTGGGGGGATTTCTTCTTCACGTTTAGAGACTGCTGGATGGAACGAAAGCCGCTTTGGGGATATTATTGTTCGACGGTTCCTAGCAGTTCGTATATTGCCGTTCGGGAGTTTGGAGCCGTTCGTGGATTTCGATCGGGAGATTGCCGCTTCCCCTGCATTTGGTTCGTGGGTTACAGAGTAAGCGAACAGAGACTGTACTGCAGCCGGGGAAGGTTTACTAAACGGCGGTTTGGCTTAAAGACACGGGAGGTGTCTTAACAATTGGTGGCAAGCGACGGGATGAATCCTACAGCACTGGAGGTCAGCTACAAGAGATGCAGTACGAGGAATTAAGGCGTGCTACACTTAAGGACATATTGGAACGCCGAGGAAGGTCAGCAAGCAATCTAAAGAAACGGGAGATTATTGCTTTGCTAATGGAGATGGATGCAGCAACGGGAATGGAAAGAGTCAACGTGCCCAGTACCTTGGATTTAACACCCGAGGAAATACAATTCAACCGGGCAGTACAAATAAGGCTGGCACATTTTGGCCCCAACCCCTCAGCTGACATCGTGGTTCGTGTGCAGGCAGCAGTTGCAACACAACAGGCAGCCCGGGAAAGAGGAGCTGCAGCAGCAGAGGTACCGTATGACAATAATGTGGTTGCTAGAAAAAAGGTACCTTTTGCTGCGTTTAAAAATTTTGTGGAAACAGAGGGAGAGATTGATGGATTTTTGGCAGACTTTGAGAGGCAGTGTGCGCTACATCAGGTACCTGCAGAGGAATGGGTCACCATCCTCTCTGGGAAATTATCTGGCCGGGCTAGTGAAGCTTTTCGGGCCATCCCAGAGGAGGAGATCACCAGCTATCGGGCTGTGA